TTAAAAAAAATATATTAAAAAAAAATATAAAAAAAGTATCATTTCACTTGTAAATAAATATATGTATTTTAAAAACGAGTTAAAAGATTTGACTCTTTGATACGTTTTGGATTATCCATCAATAAAACATTAGAATTAGTTTGTGCTATAGCCAGAGACATCTATATGGGTGGGATCAGTAGCAGGCAAATGATGAAAACAGCATCATGGTGTCTTGAGGCACGCTCTACACCTTGTGTACATGCATTATGATGTTGCATGATGTATAAAAGAGGCAGAGCTGCATTGCAATCAACATCAGATCCTACTGATGTCTCTGGCTGTACCTTAGGGAATTTTTAAGTATAAGTTTCAAATGCTAGAAATATAATACCTGGATACAAATGATTGACCAAGCTTTGTAAACCATGCTCATAAGCCTTACATGTTTACTCAGACATGGCCAATGCATTCAGTCCTTATATCTCTAGGCTGCTAGATTGGCATAGTAATGGATAATTCAAGCCCACATCTTTTCATCACCAATATAAAAATCTGTAATCCAGACACAGGTGGTACAAGCAGACTGGAATCATATTGAAGTGGCACTAAGCTTAGTTGATTCAGCCAACTAGTCTGATTTTATGGAGACCTCAAGGATGGTCTTAGGATACCCTTAAGGTTTTATTAACTGTTATTAACAGTACTGTGAAACCAAGCATCAGCAGTGGCCATAATGAAATTTCTATTTCTGGAGTTGGTTGCACTTCTTGGTTGCACTTCAATCAATTTTAAATGTAGGAAGCTTCAGTATGTGAGAAGTATTTGAGCCCTAGCTGATAACAAACCCTCAATTCCTTTGTAGCTTTTTTATTGAGGTTTTAGTGATAAACAATAACAGCCAGATTACAAGCTGTTTGGCAGTAATACGAAATAACTCCAATAGTTATTGGAATTTTACCTAAAATTTGTGGGGTAAAGTTTCCTAATTTCATATTTTTTATTTTCTCTGTGGGTTTTAAGGAACTGAAAAGACTTCTGAAGAAAGAAGATAAACCCGTTCTGCTGATGTTCTATGCCCCTTGTAAGTAATACAGTATTTTTAAACATTTGATAATCCCCTTTACTGATAAAACAGTATTTGTGTACCTCTGTTAAATCATTCCATTTGTTTATGGGGAATTGACAGCATGCATTCACTAATCTGTTCATTACTCTGCACTTTATATTCTTCATTCCTCAGTTCTTATTCCAGATTTCACCACAAACAATAGCAGTGTAGCATAAAAATATTTCAAATGATTTTCTTTTACTTTTTTCTCTGCAAAAATTATGCAAAAATGAACACTCAGGTTCAGTCAGACCTTGCAAATTTATTTCAAGTTTACAATGTTTTTAGACTGTTCTTAGATATACAAGACTTTCTTGGAATACCCCATTCACTCCTGCTGTAATTCAAGGATCTGCAGTTACATTGTTCCACTATCATTCTCAAAATGGCTTGGCCTCATCAAGAGAATTAGTATCCTGTCCCAACCAGCAATCTTCTTAAAGGAGAATGGGTCAAAAATAAATATTGTGGTACCTTGGAGAGCTCCCTGTAACAGCAGTAACTAGTCAATAGATTTTTTCTAATCTCTGTCACCAAGCTTGAAGTAATGCTTGCCACAGCCCTGTTCCTCCAGTAAACATACACAAAAACAGGACTCCTGATAAAGTTTATCAGGTGATAGCACTTAGCCATGAATTGGAGACCATCTGGGAATTTCAGAGTTGTTGGCTAGATGAGGAAGTTGAAAAAAAAAAACATTCTGGAAAAAAACAGTGGTGAATCACAGCTGTAATGCTGCCAAAAATACTTGGATGCTGTCACCAGGAGACAAGTTCAACTGGTGGGCATGTTTATCTTTTTACTCTAGGTACAGTTGTGCCTGGTGGCATGTTGAATAACCTACTTTTCTATTGCTGGCCATATGGACATCTTTTCTTCTGTTAGCTGATGTCCTCTGTGAGGAATATAAGCTTTTCATTGTCAGTGATTAGGATCTAGACTGCATGCATGTCAAAAACGTATCAGTGAATTCATTTCCTTAACTCTGATCCTAATGACACTAAGCATCCTATCTGTTGTAGTGTCTCATGATGTAGCAAGAGGCCAGAAAAATCTAGGCTTTATTAAGCTCTTAACAGGGAGGAAAAAACTTACAAATCTTCATTCCCAGTTATAATTGAGATGAACCAATGGAAATCACAATAATCTCCAATTATCTGTTTGAAATAGGCCTGAAGGCTAAAGCCCGAGCTTTACCTTCCCCAAGAAAATGATTGAACATATGTGTTTCATGGTTCTATCAACCCATTTAAAAAAAACAACAACTGGCAATGTGTTTCACAGTGTTCTTTAACCAAAGTAACTCACATCCTTCAATTACAAATAGTCAGAGAAGTGTATTCTTTCTACATCTACTTTTCTTAAAGCTATACAGTATTGACAGGAAGCCTGTGGCTTCAAATGTACTGAAATGATAATCTCACTTGAGTTTCCTTTGTACTCATAATTGTGTAAAGTCACAGCAAATAACAATAGTGTTGGCTGTGACTACATGGGTATTACCTTACAGTGAAAACACACACTGTGTAATAAGTACATGTCCCTAAGAACATGTTTCTCCAGATTTCTGACTCCAGTCTTGTAATACAGTTCTGTCCTGTGTTTAGGAAACATATCAGAGGTTAATGCTTTACATCAAAATTCCTAACATGGGCAGTCATTATATCCCACAGTGCTGTGCTGAGAATTATAGGAGTTGCAGTCTGCACACATCTGGAGAATATCAGCTTGGCAAAAGCTGCTTTACATTCCAATAATGAAAAATACTGACCCTAGGATCTCTCTGTTTTATCAGTGCATGTCATTTATGTTCTGCTAGCAAGGGATGAATTACCAAATATTGCTGAATAGAAGTAGTTTCATTAAGTTCCAGAAATGAATTTGTAGCAAAGAAAAAAAAAAAGAAAGTATGGAATCAGGTTGTAAGAAACCCGAAGGTGAATGCATAACTGTATTATACTGTATGTGGTGTTCCTCAGCAGAAATACTTTGCATTGCTACGAAGATACTACATAATACATTTACATTGCTCTTCTAGAAGCTATTTAGCTGCAAGGGCTGATTTCACCTTGTCAAGGCTGAATACGGCAGCATTCTAGCCATTATTTATCAAGAGGGTCAAGGAATAGTGGAATGAAAATTAATTCATGCTTGTTGGATATATGTGGAATGGTGTTGGATATGTGTGGAATGGTGTTGTGTTGCAATGCATATTCTGTGCAAAAAGCAAAAAGCCCACAATTTTTCTTCAAGGTGTTGAGCTCTTAAATAATCCCTTCTGCATAGTTTAGTTCTAGGAAATAGCATATTTTTTTCTATGCAGATTTACTCTTCGACACTGTTCTCTGAAACTTCTGCAGGCTGTTTGGAAATTTTAGATTTATCTCAGAAAAGCCTTGCAGTTTCCTGGTTCTCAGCATGTGTTACAATTGACTGCTGTTTTTAAATTGGTTGAAGTTCTAATGTTTGCTTTAGTCCTATAAATAATTCCTTCAGGCTATAT